AGTCAATCGCAGCTACGCTGCATCTGGGTGATATATCAGTCCTTGATGTTGTAGGTCTGCCCTGTCTGGAAGGGTCCAGGGTTTTTCTATTGCCATCTGTACTAGTTCTCAGAACCAGGGCCTCCTTGGCCAATGGGGGGGCCACAATTATGACCTCCGCCCCTTCTCTCCTGATCAGTTGTTGAGCACCTTGCCGATCAGTGGAGTTGGTGAGAACACATACAGGAGACCTGTTGACGATGGGTGGGATAAGGCATCCACCCCCTCTGCCCTCAGTTCCTGGTATTGGGCTAGGAACCTGTCCAGCTGCTGACTGTTTGAATTTGCCATTAGGTCCTTTAATGGCCTTCTGAACTGGTTGGATATCTGAGTGAACACCTCCCTGTTCAGACTCCATTCTCCTGGGTCTAGATCCTCCCTGCTTACCCAGTCCACCTGCTGGTTGGCCTGGCCCCTGAGGTGTTCTGCGCACAGACTGGCTACATGTCTTTCTGCCCACCTTAGTAGAAGGCTTGCTTCCAGATACAGGGCTTTTGACCTGGTGCCTCCTTGACAGTTTACGTGAGTCTTGGTCATGTTGTCCATGTGGATGAGGACACGTTGGTTCTGCAGATTCTGCTGAAAGTCCTTTGGGGCCAGCCTTGCAGCCCGATGTTCCAGGCAGTTGATATTGTGCTGCACCTCCGCTGGGGACCACCGACCCTGTGCCACCAGCTGCCTGCAGTGTGCTCCCCAACCCCTCTTGCTTGTGTCCATCGTGACAATGATTTGAAAGGGATGTAAGAATGAGGTTCCTTTGTCTAGATTCTTATCGTCCACCATTCCAGCTCCTTCTTCAGGCTGCCTGGTATCACTATCTGCTTGTGTTTGATTCTGGAAATGTCCTTCTGAAACGGAAGGAGAAACCACTGCAGGGGTCTGGAGTGGAACCGTGCCCAGGGACCCAAATTTATGGTTAATCTCATAAGTCCCTGCACTACCGCTAGGTCCATAAGATCCATTGTATTTCAGTTCCTGATCACTGTCACAAGTTCTTGGACCTTTAGTTGCTTCTCCGCTGGAAGAAATACTTTGGCTAGGATTGTGCTGATTCTGGCTCCCAGATGCACGATGTTCCTCAACGGTTCCAGTTGACTTTTTCTGGGTTTATGAGGAACCCATGTGCCTGAAAATGGCGTATTGTTTTCTCTGTGGCATGTCTCGCTGAAGCTTGGTCCACTGCTCTTATAAGATTATCGTCCAAATAAGGTAAATGTGGATCCCCTCCTATCACAGGGAAGCCACCAGCAATACCATAACTTTGGTAAATACACAGGGAGGGATGAAGATAGGCCAAAGGGCAAGGCCTTGTATTGGTGGTGTCTTCCTTGATGGCAAAATTGAAGGTATCACCTGGAATCTGGGTGTATTGGGATGTGCAGGTATGCTTCCCTGAGGTCCATGGACGTGAGGAAATCTCCTTTCTGAAGCAGCTATAGTATATGGCACAGGGACTCCATTCTGAATCTCCTTACTGATATGTTGAGTCCCTTGAGGTTTAGCACTGCTTTCCAGTCCCTGGACTTCTTTGGGACTATGAAAAGTATGACCCCCTTGAATCGCTGGCTTGCTGGCATATCTTCCACTGCGCTGATATCCTGAAGGTGCTGGATCGCTTGTAGTAGTTGATGCTGTCTGTCTCGCTTTCTTGGTGCTGGCAATGATGTGATGCTCTGAGGGGGAAGGGTGTCAAATTCTATCTTGTATCCTTGTGATATGATAGCACCCATTTGTCCGTGGTTGATATCCACCACTATTCTGCAAAGCACTGGAGCCTTCCCCCTATCAGACAGTCATGCTGACTGCTTCCTGGGCTGGGCATGCTTGTCCTGTCTAAAGGCGGTTTGGCGTCTGGTGGTAGCTCTGTTTCTATATGGATAGGATCTGTAACCCTTGAAATCCTCGGTGTCCCTTCTTCTGCAGGAAGATCTGAATCCACGAAAGTACTGGTGATGCCTGCCTTTTGGGCCCCTGTCCCTGCTATAGGAGGAGGATGACGTGGCTTTCTTCTTCTCCTTCATTTCCACTAGGACCTTACTGAGATTCGACTCTCCAAACAGGAGCCTCCCTGAGAATTTCTCTGTGGATAAGTTGCTTTTGGACAGGGTGTCCACTCTCCAATGTTTGAGCCAAATATGCCATCTTATGATAATGTTGGCTGCCTGTGCTCTGGCCCAAAATTGTATGTTATCCTAAGAAGCGTCTGAGGCAAACTCAGCTGCCCGCTTTATCTTCAGCAGTGACCTTCTCAGATCAAGTCGGCTGGTCTTCTGATTTTGAAGGAGGTTATCTGCCCAGATAACTATAGCTCTTGTAAAATTTGACAAAATTGCTGAAGACCTAATGGCCAACGACATGGCCTTGTGAGACTTCTTTAATGCCTTCTCATTATTTCTGTCCACTGCATCTTTTAGGGCATTTTCCCCAACCTTGGGGAGAACTGCACTGGAATGTAGTACCACAACTGGGGCATCCACTAGGGGCACCTTTAAATCCTCCATGGTCTCTCTAGGTAGCATGTAAAACTTCTTGGCCAGGGATAGTAAGGAGATCCCCATGCCTGGGGAAGCCCATTCCACCCTCATGACATCATCGAATGAGTTTGGAAAGGGTGACACTGCTTGCACCCTGGGGAGATCCTGTCTAGATTAGCAGATACAGCTGATTTGGTATTTTCTGTGACTTCCACCTGGTAGTTTAAGGTGGTTATCACCTTGTTCGGTAATCTTTGAAAGTGTTCTGCCTGGAATACTCTGGAGGAAGTCTGGGCTTCTGCCTCCTCCCCTGACCATTCACCATCCTCCTTGTCTGAGCTGCCTTCCATAGATGCAATCAGGGATATGGCCTCCCCCAATTCAGATACAGGTGATGCTGGGTGCCTGGTCAGTTCCCTGGGGCTAATGGTGACCTCTGCTCTGGGTCCCTCTTCCCCTGTAGCTTCCTGATTCTCTGGCTGGCACTGCACCTCCCTGTGCCTGGGAAGCTTGTGGAGGGGATGAAACCCTCTTGGATGGTGACGCAGATCCTGAAAAGGCATGAGAGTGATGATTCACTCCCCCCCCCGTTCCTTCTGTCTGGGGATCGGCCTCGCCTGTGCCTCTTTCACCACTCAGTCTTGCCCTGGCTATTTTGCCCTTGTATCATGAGGGACATTCCCCATGTTGGGAATGCCCATGGTCCCCCCATCATTGGCCACATCCAGCTTGGACCAGGCAAAAATGGGCTAGCATGCAGACCCAGGCTTGCATGAAGGCCTGGATCTACTTGGGGGTAACTTGTGGCTGGGTTGGAGCTAATGGCGCTGCAGGTTGCATAAATGCCATTGGGTGGACTGGGAACCCTTGCGGGGGATGGACCGCCTGCCCCATGATTCCCTCCCCCGTTACAGGCTCTTGGCCCCCGGTTGGCTTAGGCATCAGGCCTGGGGTTGCCTCCCCTCCCAGGCCCTTCTCCAGTGTCAGGTGTCTCTCACCAGGCGGGCATGCTGGCCCATCAGTCTTCCTGTGGCACTTCAGCGGTGTTCTGGTGGTTAGTGGCCCTTTCCTTTTCTTCAGCGCCTTCTTCAGTGCTGGAGGTGGTAGGGAGCGGGAGCCCGAAGGCTCAAACCACTCGACCTGCATTTCCACTCTGACCTTATCTTCTCTGCCTGGCTCCATTGCTGCCTGCATCGCTTCCCCGCCCCCCGGTGCCGGGTCTTCCGCTGCTGCCGGCCCACTTCCCGATGCCTCGGGTGGGGGGCTGGTCCTCTCGGCCATGCTGCCTCTCTTCCTCATGGCATCCTTCTTTGTCTGCATCACAGCAGTTACTTCCTCCTTGGAAGCTATGCGGTCTAAGGATCTTTCCCTGACCCTACACTGGTGCCTACGGATTTTTCACTGTATTTCTCTCTCTCCCTTTCTCTCTCTATCCTTCTCACTCCGTTTTCTCTCTCTTTGTCCCTTTTTTTGGGCTATCTGAAGTGTAAAGCTCAAGTCTCCTATTGAGCAGCGGGGTTATCCAAAACTGGAGGGATCAGCTTAGGATCTCTCCGATAGGAGTCTCAAACACAAAAGAATTTGCATAGCCCTATCAGAGCAAGCAGAGGCGTGACCTGACCAGTTCTGGATGCCTTCCCCCCCCCCACTGAAGGAGAAGAGCACGCAAAGTATCCTGTCAAGAAGCACTGGGTTGGATCCAATGATTCCCTTCTGCTGAAAGAGTAGTCTTGGTCCATCAGAAGAAAATTCTTCACTTACAGAAAGGAAGTTGGAAATGGACCCAATGGACTATCTAGTCTCCTGTTTGGTACTCTACATTTCCTATCAAAGATAAACTGGGTCCTATCTTTCTGTGAAAGAGGCACCCAATCTTTCATACTTTCCCATATTAAGATTTCTGGTTTATAAAAATCTATTTGCTTGTTTGAAAATAACTGTGCACTGGCCTTGTCAAGTGAACCAATATTATTCAGTTGACTACTCCAGGCATGTCAGCAACCTTTAATTCTTTCACAAAGGGACCTTTGAGGGAAAATGAAACCAGATGTATTTGCAGGTTAGGAGTACTCCATGGTAACTCAAGCAAGTCACAGCATAGAGCTGAGCCAAGAGAAATCTCAGAGAACTTATACTGTTGTTACTTTTCTTCAACCCCTAAATAAATGCCTCTTAAGGACAGGAACACACACAGGTTTTTCCATCTATATTTAACACTTAAGAGTAGCCAAAAAAGTTTTAACTATGAACAGCTCTGTCCTTAACAACTCTCAAGATGGTTTCACATGTCTCCCAGCTCTACCACCAGTTGCTAAAAATATTGGAAAGACTCAGCATAATCTTCATAGTTTTAGATTAAACAAACAAGCTATTTGTCGGAAAGTAATACTAAGCACATTTATTGAAGTTACAGGAGACTAATTCATTCCTCCTACCATTTAACTGTAATTTACATAACTATTAAATAATAAACAATAATAGACTTACCATCCAGTAACCAAGGCTGGGTCTGCATTTTTTCCAGTTCTGTCATCATGACACGTGTGAATACATGATCTGGCACCAAAAGGCCGCTTTCTAGATATTGCTTTGCCAATATACCAACATCTGTTAGGGAAAACAAAACCTTTTAGTTAAAAGCTTTTCAGGTTTCAGGACTAACAAGTGGGTCCATCTGCCCAGATTCTTCTCCAGAATCGCTTCACCAGCTCAGAAATGACAGATCTCAACAGAATGCCTGGGAGAAAAGGGGAGTAAAAGGCTGTGTTTACAACATTTTACCAACTCTAAGAAGTCTTCCAAAATGCCTACTGCTTGCAGGGTACAGAAAAAGGAGAAAATCACAGGAAGACTGGCTGAATAGTTAGTCTTCAGTGCTTTTTGACATCACCAGCAAATACAACATTCACAACCATCATCACACCATAATTCCTGCTTTCAACACTACAGCCAAAGATCAATGTTGCTAAGCAACCAAATGGCATGAACCTCAGATTAACCATTTCACATCTGCAAAGCACAAGGCCAGTTCTACAACCATATCATGCTGAGAAAGAAAAGCAGGAAAACAGACACACACATAAGTAGCCAAGATATGGACAAAACACATCAAGCTCAAGAAGAAAGCACCTAGGAAAAGAGAATACAGCACGGAAGGGGACCATGCAGGTGGCACAGCTTGGAGAAGAACAGATGAGGAAGCAGTCTGAGAAACTGTGGTCAAGGTAATTAGAGATAGATGAAGCAATAGATTGAGAGAAGATGGCTGGAAAAAATAAGATACTAACAATAAATAAGGTGGACCACAGACAACTAGGAACAAGGAAGGGAAGTCTGAACAGATATTCAACTACATGTTCTTACACATCTTGTTAAGTGTCCCATTTCTTCGGTGACCTCTTCCACTGCAAGGTATACAATCTCAGATATACCTCCTGTGTAATTTTTTTCTTATTAGCATAGCTTAGTTTATTTCACGATCAAGAGGCCAACTGCTAGTTTGTTCAGTCCCCACCCCCCCACCCCCGTTCTGGCAAAGGAAGATCCAAATTAGACGTTTCTGGGCAAGATAACAATAACAGGAGGAAAATAGGTCAAAGGAAACAATGAGTGGCAGTAAGCTGCCTCACTAGATAAGCTAAAAGAGTAGTAGTAACAAAGAATTTTTTTCCAGGCATTCAACAGCTTGGGCCTGTAACAACATGTATTTTCATTATATTTTTGTTCTTAACAAAAACAAGTGTTATACTTGAAAAGGGTAGAAATAGCCCATTAAAAGCAGGCCTTTTTATGACAGTACTGATACTAAGTGCTGGCACTTTTGGGGGGTTCTACCAAGTCGGGGGGGGGATTGGTGAAAATCAGTGCAACCATATATAAGAGGATTGTCACCATCTTTTTTTCTTTTTACAAAAATACCGATTAAAATAAGCTTTAAAATATCAGAACAGCAATACTCTTCATTAGGGCAAACCCAGGTGTCACACCTTTAAGACCTTCTGGAGAACGTTTTTGGAAGCAAGCAAGGAAATGTGTGTTGTGGGGCAGGGAGATAATGCCTACATGATAGAAAAGTTCCTATCATTAGTTTCCAGGGAGAACACGGGCAGACTTCATTAAATTAAATAAAACAGAAGTCCAGTGGCACTTGAAGACTAGTTAAGTACAAGCATGGACGGCTTCAAAAGGGAATTAGATAAGCATATGGAGCAGAGGTCCATCAGTGGCTATTAGCCACAAGGTATAGCTAGGGGCTCTGGGGCAAGTGATGCTCTGTCTTCTTGGTGCTTGGGGGGGGGGGTCAACAGTGGGAGGGCTTCTAATGTCCTGGCCCCACTGCTGGACCTCCTGATGGCACTGGTATTTCTGGCCACTGTGTGACACAGAGTGTTGGACTGGATGGGCCTTTGGCCTGATCCAACATTGGCGTCTCTTATGTTCTTATGTTCTTAAGTAGCCTTTATTGGCATGGGAAAAAATGATACAAGTTAATACAGTTTAAAAGGTCAGTTAAAACCGCAACATAATATACATCAGTGTAAATATAGGATTATTTCTGTGAGATCTCTTGGCATACCTTTATAGCAGAGTAAAGAAACTTAGCCACCTTCTTGGTGACATTAGAGGAGAAATAATTCAAAAGTCTATAAACCTTAAATGCATCAGAACAGTCCCTCATCCTAACTAGAACATAATGTAAATGCATATAATGTAAATCTGTATACAGGTGACAATAGAGAAGAACATGAGTGATTGACTCAACAAATTTTTTATTACAAGGGCAGTATCTGGCTGAGTAGGCTATCTTATTGAGTCTACCATAAAAAATAGCAGAAGGCATGACATTACATCTGGCAAGGGAAAATGCTCTGCGAAGGGAAAATGCTCTGCGTTGCTGTGGCACCTGCAAAAAAGAGAGATATGGGGCCAGTTTCCCAGTAATAAGGGGAATCTCAAAACTCAGCAGGGAGCAGGCTTTGTTGGCCTGACTGAATAACTTCTGGCATTCAATGTCTAGCATTCTGTTTTTAATTTGATGAAATGCAGCAGTGAAAGTCAGCATAGACAATGATTCTATATATAAGCCCGTTGCTTTAATTTTCCCCTCAATATATGATGACCAGGTTGACATATTGGATTCGGAGAGTATTTGAGAGATAAAGCTCCCAGGTTCCAGGTTGTAATGCAAGCGTAGGCAGAATTTGACAGTCATAAGCCGTGCACTAGTTTCAATTAGAGACATGCCAGTTTCCAAGCAGATAACTGCATATGAAACACATTTTGGCATACCAAAAATTTTTTGCAGGAATTTGGATTGGGTCCATTCAGTAGCACATTCAGAGGCTCCAAATTGGGATGCCGTATAATAATTGTGAGGTCACTTTGGCCTTGAAAATGTTTATGGCAGCTGGCACAAATTGGTTACCTCTGCCATAAAAAAAGTGTTATAGCTGATTCACTAATGTTAGCTGATTTCACTGCATACTTACAGTAGGTAGACCAAGTCGCATTATATTGAAAATAAATACTTACATATTTAAAATGTTTGACTTGCTCTATATCTTTTCCAGCAATAACCCAATTGTAAGATCTCCGCTTTTTTGAAAAGACTAAGATTTTTGACTTCTCGTGGTTTAACTGAAGCTTATTAGTAGTAAAAAATGCTATACAACGGGTCAACAGATGTCTTAGTCCCACTAAGCGGGACAACAACACTGTGTCATCAGCATAAAGTAGCAGCACTTGAAGACTAACAAAAGGTACTCCAGCATGAGCTTTTGATTATCAGAGCTCACTTCTTCAGATGCTTATGGAAAAGAAATCATTTTGGATATTTTTTAAAAAAAACCAAAGAGGAGCTGAAGCAGAGATGGGCCTGAAGTGAATCCTGTTATAAATCTTTCAGGTGTATAAGCAACTGGAACAAATTTGGTTGTTACATATAATGGATAAGAAGAAAATCCAGATTCCAGCTTAATTAATCAAGGAAGAAGCAGTCTGGAACATAAGAAAAATTAACTATTAGTAAAAGGTTACAACATGTTTAGAAGAGTCAATTAAAAGCTCTAAGAAGTCATTCCTATTGAGCTACTTGCAATTATAGTAAGTAATCACAAACCTATGTTTAGGCCAGGATGAGAGTGTTCAATTTCTCAGTTTAAATCAGCACTTAAACACTATATATCCTGTAACGATTTCTTGTTTTTGTGTGTGTGTGTCTCTCTAAAAGTTTGGTTGCATGGCTGTAGTAGATAGACTACAGTGGTTGAGAGAGGCAAGTGTGGTATGATTGGTGGTTGACAGAGAGGTGGAGGGGTTTTGGAAGTGAATCTGGTTGGATGAGTATGTGAGTCAGTCAGTAGTTTCAGTTACAAGTTGACAGTTGAGTTAGACAAGCAGTTTTTGTAGAAGCAGTTATAAGCGGACAGCTGAGGTAGTTCAGTGAGAAACAGAAGGAAAGCTGAGTGTATAGGAAAAAGTTAATGAAAGTTTAATTGAAGACAAGTTATAGGAAAGGCTATATGTCCTGATAAACTGGAGAGAAACAGTGAACATATATGACCTTGAATTAAACAAGTGTTACAAAGTTACCTGAAAGATCCCTGTCAGTGCGGGATAAGATTGTGTGATACCAAAGCAATTGTTCATCATTTATACATTACTAGTTACATTGTACAACCCTCTTATTTAGTAGTTATTTCAATAAATCCTCTTTCATCCACGTTTATACCAGCTCTGAATGAAATACTTCCCAGGACCACATAGATCCCTGTAAGCCTTGAACTCAGTCTACCAAATTAAAAAGAGCAACAGTAAAAGCATAAAGGTTTGGAAATCCTTAAAATTTCCTGGTGGCAGCCGTATATACCCAGTAAAAGAAAATAAAGAACACTTTTAAAGTGAAAGTAGTCTTCCCCAATAAGGAGGACGTCACATATCCCCTTTGAGGTTTTTCGCAGAACAGTGGGTGTTTCTGCACTGAGTTTTACACCCATCACGACATTTTTTAAAATTCTGCATTGCCTTTCAAGTCGCTGTATATTTTTATTTCTACATTGCCTCCAGTTTTCACTCTTCATTCCCCCCAGGTTATTTTTAAATTCTGTGTTGTTCAGCTATCAGTTCGGCTTCCCCCCATTGTTTCCGCAGGGTATCTGAATGCTGTTTTATAACCTCCCACCTGGCTCCACACTGGAGAAATGCAATGTAAAATCAATCCTTTGGAATATTCATCTCCGCTCCTTTTCCAACCCCCTTGGAGACCACTTCTCCCCCTCCCCTTTTCCAGCCTCCACGGAGGCCACTCCTCCGTTTACCCCTTTCTGTGTCCTCCGGGGGGGGGGGGGGAGGTGACAGGAGTCCTTGGTTGCACTTGCAACTGAAGGGAAAGTATTGTGTGGGCATGGCATCTGCTTTGGGCTGGGCTTTTTCTTTAGCAATTCCCCAAAGACTTCCATGTTTGCAAGTACTGAGACAAAAGTTCTCTGCATTCTGTAAAGTGGCCAAGGCTCTGAGCTTGCCTCTGCCCTTGGAACCAGTGCAGGGCAATCAGCAGCATGGTTGGGCTTAAATCTTTATTTTTTTCTTTATTTGATTCACTTTTTTGG